AAATACTAGAGGGCGCTCTGACTAAAAAATTGCCATTATCTAAATAAAAAGAACTGATATATATATATATATATATATATTATTACTAATGCATTGCAATACAACTAATTCAAATTGCAATATAAAATATTCTGTCAGTAACACTTCTCAAGGGCGTATTTCAAGGTCAGTGTTATTTACGATAATATTGGTTTATAATTTTATAAATTGGCTTGGCAATTCCCGCCCCAATTAGATATAATGTGTACATATTTTAATAAATAAAATTAATGATACACTAACACAAATGCAATATTAATTATTTTATTATATAACCTGCACAAAAATAATCAATATTTTTCCTTGCTAGAATGATGTGTAACATAATATGAGAACCTTGATAAAGTTCACAGCTGGCGATTTAGCAACACCCGTATCAGAGATAGTCAACTTCTTGTGAATTTGATTACCTAATGTTTTAGGTTCATGTGCTGCAAGTTACAAAGCACGTACCTAAGTGGCCGTTCCTCAGCAAACAATTAAGCCAAGGCATTTTTGATGTCGAAATCGGGAAATTCTCCGTTTTTACGCAATCTGGGAAGTTCGAATTACTAAATGAAGTACAGGACGATGAAGCTGAAATATCCAAGAACCAACACATACCAAAATTTAATTAAGTCTAACCGGACAAGAAGTGGAAATTTGTTAGCACTCTAACTATCCAAACATATTTTAGTGTAAGGTAGTAATCAGGAGCTTTTCCCAAGAATATGCAGAATTATGTTGTATGCTGCCCTCTATGTTTTAACAGTTTCCATGCTGTGATTTCGTTTTTATCGTGCCGGTCAAGCCTATGAATTATAGGAAATACTTAATTATAGTTTTTAGTTAGATCCCATTCAATGAGATAAATAGTACAATTGAACCCAAAATGGATCGTGTCTACGCTGGTAATCTCGGTTAGATGTTCATTTCATGGGGAATGACACTGTGTTAGCATTCAATGTTACTGGTTGGCGACCTAGTTGTACAAATGATGATATTGCGTTATAAATGTTTTGTACGCAGAGAAGAGTACAGCTCATCGTAGTGTTGTGAACACAGGCGTTGTGTTTGGGGATCAGGGAGCTTTGTCTCGCTTGGCTGGTGTCACTTACACGTAGGGGTACCAGATTCGATTCAAATGAATACACATTAGTTCATTACAGACAGTCCAGCTTTATTTACACAAGCAGTGTAAACATGCGATCAGCCAATCGCTGCAGTCGTTGCAGGATGTGTCTCATGGTTATCGCCTTGCAAAGTTGCCACTACTAAATACAATAAATAAACAATCTATCAAATTCGTGTTTTTTTTACTCCCGTGTGCGAAGCACAAAAAGGGAGTCTTTGCAGTTAGTGTGTCTGTCTGTGTGTCTGTGTGTGTGTGTGTGTGTGTGTGTGTGTGTGTGTGTGTGTCTGTGTGTGTGTGTCTGTTCCACTGATATCTCAAGAACCATACATTGATTTTTTATGAAACTTGGTGCATAGATGCTCTGGGCCGATGCGCAGATTTGATTAGGTTTTGGTAAAAATCCATGCATATTAATTACCTAATTTGCATGATAATTAGCTGATTTTTAGCTGTTCCACTGATATCTAAAGAACCACTCATTGGATTTTGATGAAACTTGGCACATAGATGCTCCAAACTAATGCGCAGATTTGATTAGTTTTGGGTAAAAATCTGTGCAATATTAATTACCTAATTTGCATAATGATTAATCAATTTTCGGCTTTTCCACTGATGTCTCAAGTACTAATCATCACATTTCAATAAAACTTGGTACATAGATGTCATAGGACACTGCACAAACCTGATAGTTTTTAGGGTAATATGAGTACATATTAATTACCTGATTTGCATAATTATTTAATTTTCAGCTTTTGATATTTCAAGTAGTAATCATCACATTTCAATGCAATTTGGTACATAGATGTCATAGGACACTGCACAGACCTGATAGGTTTTAGGGTAATATCAGTATATATTAATTACCTAATTTGCATAATTAATTAATTTTCAGCTTTTGATATTTCAAGTAGTAATCATTACATTTCAATGACACTTGGTGCATAGATGTCATAGCACACTGCACAGACCTGATAGTTTTTAGGGTAATATCAATACATATTAATTACCTAATTTGCATAATTAATTAATTTTCAGCTTTTGATATTTCAAGTAGTAATCCTCACATTTCAATGACACTTGGTACATAGATGTCACAGGACACTGCACAGACCTGATAGTTTTTAGGGTAATATCAGTACATATTAATTACCTAATTTGCATAATTAATTAATTTTCAGCTTTTGATATTTCAAGTAGTAATCATCACATTTCAATGACACTTGGTACATAGATGTCACAGGACACTGCACAGACCTGATAGTGTTTAGGGTAATATCAGTACGTACATATTAATTACCTAATTTGCATAATTAATTAATTTTCAGCTTTTGATATATCAAGTAATAATAATCATATTTCAATGAGACTTGCTACATAGATCTTCTAGGATTATGCAGAGACCTGATTAGTTTAATTGGATATTAATTACCTAATTTGCATAATGTTCCACTGATATATAAAGAACCACAAATTCGATTTTAATGAAACTTTTAAAGAGAACTATGCAGAAACCCAATTAGTTTTTGGTAAATATTTATGCTTATTAAACACCTAATTAACATAATTAATTAACACTGATATCTCAATTACTGATCATCACATTTGAATACAATTGTGTACATAAATGCTCTAGGACAATATACAGGCCTGATTAATTTTGGGTTAAAATTTGTTCATATTAATTCTCTAATTAGCACAATAATTCATAATTTTTTTGTTCTGTTCTGTTACCAGATTTATATAATTGGTTTTCAGCTTTTCCATCAATATCTCATGTACAAGTAATTTCGAATTAATTTTTAATGTGTCTTCAATACTCTCAGCACACGGGAGTTCTGTCTATGCTTTCTTTGATTATTTTTTTTATTATGTCAGCGTCACAGCATATTAAATGATTCCCACTTTTCAGTGTGCTTCGCTAATTTGCCTCCCCCTATTGCTATCACTTTTTCTAAATTATAAACTTGCCTAATGAGATATAGACATCCATGGAAAGAATATTTTTCGTTTCTCATTTTGGAAAAGTAGATATGGCGTTTAGCTAGAAGAATAATATGATTTGTTATTTTTGAAAAAACCTTGTTCCCAAGAATAATATCTTGGTTGGACATATTACTAAGGGTGGGCAGATGAGCGAAATGCACCGAAATAGTTTGCCAGAAAGTCGTCACAACTATACACTCACAGAATAGATGAATCAATGTTTCATCATACGTTTCACAGAAACTGCATTTTGATGATGTAACCAGGCTAGAGTTCGTGGAATATAAATCTTTGTTTGTATAGAGAATATTATGATTTAGTTTAAATTGAAAACTTCTTGTTCTATTATCAATTGTAGTGGTGAATGGCAAATTTTACACATCTGAAAAATGA